ATATACAGTACAACTGTAAACTGCAGTAGCAAAGCAAACATTAGCAAACAAGGCATAGGGACAGCAAAGAAAAGACACAACAACACAAAGTTAAAACCAAATATTGCCTCTTCCAGGAGATAACTCTGGATGAGAAGGTTTTCCAAGCGTCAACAGTCGTGGGTCGAGCTTTATTTAATTTTGCTGTGGTATGTTCAAAACCAATAACACGGATAAGACATCGTCTCCAGAATGATTCCATACAAATGTCAGGACAGAAGCATTGCTTTGTAATAGTCTTCTTTGCGCTGGATTGATATTTTTGTTTGGACCGCAAAAACAAAAATTTCCGTAGTTATCTTTTTAAAAAGTTCCCAGATGGTCCTAAAATTATACTTCAGAAAGTATTTTAGTTAAAATCACTGTAGACGGCCTGTGGGCGTCCTCTCTCTGCAGACATGAGGTAATATAAGGATTGCTCTGAATTTTTTGCTTCATCTCAGTGGATTTCTTCCCATGTTTTCCAGACTCTTGACTATGAAACCCAAGCGTCCTATACTTTCAAGGTGGAAGCATTTAATGCAGAGCTAGATCCCCGTTTCCTCCATCTGGGGCCCTTCAAGGACTCTGTGACAGTCGAAATTAACGTACTGGATGTGGATGAGCCTCCTGTCTTCACCACGCCTTACTATTCTTTGGACGTGTACGAGGACACTCCCCCAGGAACCATCATTGGCTCAGTGACCGCTTATGACCTGGATGCTAGTAGCAGTGCTGTCAGGTGGAAAGCGCTTCACAGATCTGTGGAATTATGTCAACAGACTGTTTATTTTTTTAAGTATTGTTAACAGTATTATTCATTTCCTGGAAGGCTGGAAATTGTAACGATGTTGTTCTACATCATAGTTTGAATTGGATTCTTGATCAGAATCTAAATTATTTAAGGTGTCGCGGAAAAATACAACAAAATAAAATGATCTGACAAGACAAAAACTGGTACTTTGAAATTATATTAATAAACGCGAATTCACTGTGTAATTGTGTAACTTGATTAGAAGCGTCCTCCTGAAAATAAGCCATCAGAGTAACATCCTCCTCTCTGCCTCTTAATGCGCCCCGGTTGCTATGGTAACGTGTAAATATTTCTTTCAAAATAAGACTCACAATTGCAACACGGGAGGAAGGCCTTCCATTAGGCCTCCTGTCCTAATTTTCTCTCTCCATGAGGACACTCCACGGCCAAGCGCAGCAGTGGGTGACCAAAATGAAAATGATGAGGAAGTGAAACAGCCACCAACGACAGGGAGGAACAGAAGAAGAGACAGGAATAATGAACTGCCAGACCTCATCAAAGAGTACATGAGGCAGAAAAGAGAGGCTGAGGAGAGGAGAGCGCAGGAGAACAGGGAGAGGATGGACAGACTGTTTTCACTTCTTGAAAGATTAGTTCCAAAATGGGGTAGTTTAATAATTTAGACTACCCGGGCCTCCCAGAGGCATGCCTACCTATTCGGACCTGGATATCGTCTTCCAGAGGTGGTGTGTGCCGCAACAATCTAAGTCATCTGCACCGTGCTACGAGCAGAGACACAACTATGACGCGGATGGCTCTACCAAATGTAAGGTCACAGGTGAACAAGACTTTTATTTTAAATTACTTTTTCCTCTCTTCGGGGCTTGACATCTTGTTCCTGACAAAGACATGGATTTGCCCTGATGACTCCTTCTCCTTCTCGGAACTTCTTCCTCCTGACTGTTCCTTCTTTAGCTCACGGGCTACCGGTGGAAGTTGTGGTTTAGCCTCATTTTTTTAAAATATACATAAAGCTTGGCAGCAGCCTTCTCCTACCTATGGTAGCTTTGAAGTTCAATTAGTGGAACTGGTCAATTCTTCTAAAACCTTGTGTGCCATGGTTTATCGACCGCCGAAGTATAATAAATTCTTTATTCATGATTTTACTGATCTGTTAGGATCTATTTTTGTTGAATAGGACTGTGTTCTTATTACTGGTGATTTTAACATTCATATTTGCTGTAAGGAT